TTCTATTAGTTGCATAACACACTGCACAAGGAACATTGTGATCATGCTTTCCTGGAAATATATCAGTAAAAACTTGATATTCAGATCCATGCATCTGGTTAATGTGAAGTACAGGTCCTTTAGGAGGTAAAGATGTACTCATATATTGAGGGACCTTTGGTAAACAGACATAGTTAGCTCCTCCTCCTGGATGATTGTACCATTCACCTCCAGTTATTCCCTCATACAGTAGCTCAGCTCCAGTAGGACAGGACTTCCTTCCTCAACGAGTGTACACTACTCCTCCACTTTTAGGACCAGCTTGTCCTACAGGTCCAGTTTCACCTTTCTCTCCTTTCTCTCCCTTATCTCCTCTCTCTCCTTTCAATAATAACAATATACAAACAATCGTTAAAGAATCATTTACCTTTGATTGTATTCTTTTCAGTGCCAACAGAACAATATTCCTCACTCTTAGATGCAATTACAAAAGTACAAAGATTAGTCAAAATAAGGACAGACTCCAGGAGGTTCATTGTTGGATTTGTCTTATGATCTCTTGAACTAAGTCAGAAGAAGAGGGTGGACAATAAAAAGGGGTGGACATCGGGAAAGGGGAGGGTAAATTGAAAGTGAAAGTGAGGTGAAAAGGAGGCAGAAAGGTTGAGTGTAATTGATGATAGACACAAATAGATAAGGGGGTGGGGCATATTGTCTCTTATTAACCAAGTAAGTATGTACGTTGTTTTAAAAGTAAATGATATAGAAAAGGTATATGTTGTGGAATAAAAATATGACTATTCTGCTTCAAGGTGTAAAAGGAAAGACATGCAGACAGGCCTAACTACATATTGTTTATTGTGGAATTTGTGATAGATTTGCCAAATTAACGTCATTATTTTGTTTCATTATGAGCATGCTTATGACACTACACTTCATGTAACAATATAATAATAATGTGGCTATTATAATGCGAAGCCTTAGCTACATGCATTCATTTACATGTACACCCTCTACATAATGTTAATGGTGAATGATATTAAAATATCTGAATATGAATTGTAATAGTTGGCAACACTAACAGGTTCATAGCATAATATGACTGAACCATGATGTGACATATGAGGATATCTTTCTATTTTTTTCTTAACTAATTTTTTTACAACAAAGTTCTTTTTCAAAAAGCAAAGTGAATAAGACTGCACAGGTCAATAGTCTAGCAAGTTTGGCCACCATCTATTGAGCAGTTTCTGAGATTCACACTAGACTACAATCAGACTACTTATCTTGCCCTTGCAAAGAAATGAGTATTTATACGTAATATGTACACTGTAGCAAAAAAAATCTTAGAAAAAATAGCATAATTTTAAAGACTAAGCAAAAATA